CAGCCTGGCCATGCCCATGTGTCCCTGGAAGGACCCAGCTGTCCCTGCAGCCTGGCCATGCCCATGTGTCCCTGGAAGGACCCAGCTGTCCCTCAGCATTGCTCTGAGTGGGCCACAGTGTACCCCTGCCAGCTGCAATGGCCTGCAGGAGTCAGGGCCTCAGGATGCAGGAGGGCTTCAAAAGAGGGGATGGGGGAAAGGTGACTTGCTGTGATGGACAGTTCTGTTGTTTTAATGTGCCCCCTTCTCCCAAGTAACAAAATCTCCAGTTATCCAAAACCCCACAGATTTTTGTCATTAAGCCTGGCTACTTTCCATGCAGAGGTTCTGGGGTTTTACTGAATTCCACTGCAGTTATGTTTAAAAATGGTAATGGTACTTTGTGATAGTGGTGCAGCTAATCCAGTGTTTTGAGAGGAGGAGAGTACTAAAACTCCTCAGTTAATGCCTGGAACCATAGGAGTAACAGTGGGAGAAACATCTTACTGTGTTCAAAGATTGCATGAAATTGGAGCATAATCAAACACAGAAGCTGATGGCTTTTCAAGGAGAAATTCTTATTTATATTTTTCAGTACCACCAAAGGAGACGTAATTTGCTACTATGGAAACAAAGGAGAACCAGAACCTGTTTTCCTAAATGCTGGTAGGTTTTCTTCAGAAAGGTCTGAATATTACCTTTTCTTATGTAGCTCTGTATTGTTCTAGTTGTTTAGCTATTTAAGCATTGTCCTCACTGACTTTTCCTTCACATTCTTTAAAAAAATATTATTAAATGTCTTTGAATTCATTTAAGTATTTACTAATAAATTACTATATAGAATCAATAGTTCATTAAAAGTTCTGTCCGTGTCAGTGTACCCACCTGTACTGCAATTAGTGGGATGCTCCTTTGGTGACTGTGCCTGAAGGACAGAAGCCTGTTTTGAGGAATGGAATTTTCAAAGGATTTGACCCTAAATCCCTTACCCAGCATGTGTGTTTATGGCATACCTGCAGGTAAAGGTTAGGGGGAACACTTATATTTTATGAACGTTTTTGAAATCTGTAATGACAACTGAAATCACCAGAAAACACTTTCCATTGAATTTGGTTTTGTGTGTGTGTGTAGGAATATATGGATTGAGTAATTCTTTGTTGGATACACCATGGAAGAAGCTTCAATATGGGAAGCAGCTTTTCACAGAAGTGGTGAAGAGAAGTCAAGACCTTACCAAAGAAGACTTGGTGAAGGAGCTTCTTACAGTGATGAATAATCAGGAGCCGTAAGAACATGATGGCTGGTGTTCACTGAAAATGCAACATGACTCCTTTAAAAATTGCATATAGAAACTGTTTTGGCAGAGAAAAAGCTTTAGCCATATATTAATTGACTAAAGCTGGGTAATGAAGGGCAAAAGTAGTGTTCTTTCTCTCCACAGAGACTGACTTTCAACAGTATTGATTTTTAAGGAAGAGACACAGTAAACGTTACTACTGCAGTCTTAGTACTCCTCAACTGTACACTGGTTTTTCTGTGCCCTTCTCTTTTAAAGATTGCATTTCCCTTAGTAAGGGCAATGAGTGCAGGACTGTAAGTTGCTTGCTGTAAGCTTTTTGGAGGCTCGGGTAAGGTTCAGTTTGTTCCTGCACACAGAGAAAGCCCTTATTTACACAGAATCATAGAACAGGTTGGGTTGGAAGGGACCTTCAAGATCATCTCATTCCAACCCCCTGCCATGGGCAGGGACACCTTCCACTAGCCCAGGTTGCTCCAAGCCCTGTCCAGCCTGGCTTTGGACACTTCCAGGGATGGAGCAGCCACAGCTGGTTTTGTCCTTTACTCCCTCTCTTCTGCTTCAGCCCTGCCTTTGACTGTGATATCAGGGATGTCCTGCAACTCCTTCCAGTTTAAGAGGGATGAATGTCTTAATACAGGAGAATTTTTAAATCTCTTTAACTCCTTTACTCCTTTTTTCAGTCAGTTACCAGACCCTGCAATTGAGGACCAAGGGAAGGAATATATCCGTCCTGTCCTCAGCAAGTACGCAGCTGTGTGTGTCCGCTGCCCAGGCTATGGAACAAGGTAAAAGAATTCCCAGTGCAGCAGCAGATCTGAGCACTTTGATCTTATCAAAGATACTGCAGAACGTTTCTGCTCCACGAGCAGGAATCGTGTCATCTGCAGAGCTAAATCAGAGTTCTTCAGGCACGGCATTGTCAAATGGATCTGCCACAGTCGTGCATTAAATACCTTTGCTCTTGTTCAAAAGAACATGTATTTCTACTTCTCCCCTAACTAATGCTTCTCCCCTAACTGCTGCTTTTACTGAGATATTCTCACTTTCTGCTCAGACTGTTCTACCAAGAACAACAGAGTAATGCAATGCACCTTGCATTTAATCCGTGTGAGACAAAATTACAGGTGAACCCTGTTGCTGGGAATTCCTACTCTAAAAGTTTGCCAGATTGGTCTCTGGCATAGTCAGGCATGGTATTTCCACTGCAGAGATGTGAGTTGATAAGCTGACAGTGCTCAGTGCTGGAAGCATTTTAAGTTGGGATTCTAAGAAAGAGATACTCAGTTTTTGAAGTGGTTTCTATAAAATATATTAGAAGAACATTTTAAATATAGGCTAATGAAAACTTAACTTGATAAAGAAACATCTTCCTCCTCTTGCTTCACAGATTGGAGTCCAGCTATTTCAAAAGAAACAGGAATAACTTGGCAGAAGTACTGACCTTTCACTGGTGAATTAGCACTATATGTCAAGTCTTCCCTACTGCTGTAATTGTGTGCTCACACTTATCTTTCCCTTAGCAACAGAGTTTAGTGGATACAGATGTTAACTGGGCCTCACGAGATTCTCCTAAGGAAATTAAGCACTTTTTATGTGAGTGAACAACTGTGAAGTGACTTGGGGAAGGCCACATCAGGATGGTGGAAAATTCCTGCTGTCAGTGATCCCTCTGTGGCACAGTGTCCATGGAGCAATGACAGCTTCCACAAGGCAGAGTGGCAGCGATGCATGACCCAAATCTGCTTTTCATGAAAACAGATTCCCCCTTTGGAAGGTTCCTAGAGAGAAAGAACTTTTTCTGTGTTCATATATCAGTGTCCTGTGATAATAATTAACTGTGTCTAAATCTCAGTGGACAATTGCTTTGAAAGAGATGAATGAAGAGAGTTCTGTTGATAGGATAAATAACCCTTCAGGGTACGTGTAGGCTGTGAAGAACAACTTAGTTTTATGCTGCTTCTTTCTGAGTGGAACACTTTGCACTAAGTGTGACTTTCCATCACACTCTGCAATGAGCAGCTCTGTGTGTGAGCTGCTGCCAGAGCAGCAGGGACTCAGAGCAGTGCAGTGACAGACAAACGGACTGAAAACGCCCATTTGAACCTGCCAGGGCCATTCCTGCCCTGCTAACGTGGGGATGATGTGGGCAGGGGGAAAAAAAAAAAAAAGAGTTAAAACACTGGGGAGTGAGGGCTGGCAGCCTGGCAGTGGGTGTAGTGGGCCCCAGGCTGAGCCTGTCCCTGTGTTGCAGGACAAACACCGTGGTGCTCATCGACGCCCAGGGCCGCGTGACGTTCACCGAGCGCAACATGATCGACGCCGACCTCGACCAGTGGCAAACGAGCACCTACGAATTCCAGCTGCACTGCTGACAACCACCCACCTGAATGGTTTGTAATAACAGCAGGGACAGAACAAGCCATTAAGCTCTAGTAAATGTTTTGTGCCAGCCTCCACAAGCTAAAAATAGCAAGGCCAGCAAAAGTTTAAATAAACCGGTAGCACACCCGGATCAGGCTCTCAAAGTCTTTGGATAGAACCAGATGAAAACACTGGGTTTACATTAAGTAGCAACTTACAATCAGAAATATTTTTTAATATCACCCTGCCTTCAGGACGAGGCCATCTTTGCCCAGGACAAAGTCATTGCTTTTTGTGTGGGGTATTTTAAAGATGCTTTAAATAGACTTAAACATGTTTTCAGTTCTGAGGGGGGGGGAAACATTTGCTGCTTTTATTGTTAATATATGAAGGTTTTACCAAACTTTGCTTTTCCTTCAACATATGCTGTTAAGATTGTCCAGCTGATGCCAGTGTGCATTAAATGAATGTATGTTCTCCTGGGAGCATTAAGTGCTTTAGTCCCATGTCAGCCTCTCAGCAGTGCCATGGTGCACTGTTCTGCCTGGGGAGGGCAGAGCAGGGGGATTCTTTACATTTGTTTTCCTCTAGATAGTACAGCAATATATCTTATTTCTAAAACTTGGTCTAAGGGTAGGTAGGAAGTTTTGCTCAGTCTCTGTTCACTTTTACTGAAAGAATCACGGGAGCAGACTTGCCTACCTTTGACAGGAATAAAACTATTGGTGTTGTGACATCTTGTTTCCTGATAGTCTAACTAGCAATATTGATTTTGATATTTTCTTCCCCAGCAGGCAGGTAAGGAAGCAAATAGAAGCTGAATATGAGGTTTACATATATCAGCTGTTTTGTACATATGCAATTTTGGCTTCAATATTGGTATAATATGTTAAAACCTGGAGTGACTGATCATAGATTTTTAGTAAAAATAGCTGTTTGTTGTAAGGTGACATTATTGCACTCTTATATTGCTGAAAAAGTTGGGTATTAAGATGTACTTCCTATGTTCTAACACCTGTGAATTAAAAAGCTATTTAAATGCATGCTTTTTTCAATTATTCAGTGCCAGGGTAGGTAATGGAAGATTCTAACTAATATCAGGATATTTGAAAACCCTAAGTTATTTTGCTGCTACTGGTGTTCTGACTTATTTTGAATACTGAGTATTAAGCTAGTGGTGGGTCACTGCTATTTTTTTCCCCTCTAGATATGCTGACTGTATTCTTTCCACATGCCTCTGATTTTAACTAATTATTTCAAAGTAGCAAGATTTCTGATCCTCTCTCCAAGGTGTGCAGTTGTGCTGCTGTGTGTTCCATTCTCCCTGAGTGTGTGGAGCCAGCAGCAAGTGAGATTTGCCATTGAGGTGAAGCACTGTGAATCCCAGGTTTTTAACTGCCAGGAGATGCTAAAGCAGCATTTAGTCAATTCTTTCCTTTCTATTTGCATATTTAAGTAGCTTCTAGATACCAGGACTGCTTGTAGAACTAGTCCCAGGCTGTTGCTGCAGTGCTGTAGAAGTGGCTCTTTGAGCACCTTGATTGCAGGATGATCAGTGGGTTTGGGATGGGTTGTACCTGGTTTCCAGCTCAGAGCCTCCCACACTGTCCTTCTGAGCTGCAGGAAAGGATTAGCCCTTTCCTATTTTCTGATCACTGTTTAAACCACATATTTGTATGGATAAAAATGCTATTTTTAGATGCAAGGAAGTAGCTGTAGCTGTCTTAAGTCTGAGTTTGACAAATGCACATTTTAAAACAAAGCTCTGCCTCAGTGGCTTGCTCTGAGAGTTTCCATAGCAAACTCTTTTATGGCTTAAGAACAAAATCACCAGCGGATATCTGAACAAGAAATTCTCTTTGAAGACATTATCTTAAAGGCAAGCACAATGCTTGCATGTAATTTCATGCTAAAAGTATTTATAAACCTTAGTTTTTATAGCAGTCCTGTAATAATGAAAATTTATTCTCATCTTTTACTTACAGCTAAAAAAAGACAAATCAGAGCTCAGATGTAAAAACATTGTAATCACAAATTCTGCTTTGCTTGAATCAAAATTCTAAATCTGGGATTTGCTTTTTCTGACAATTAAACCATAAAGAGCACAAACCTCTGATGTTATTTTTTATCATGTCAGAATAGTTAATGAGGTGAGCATGTGAGAGTTGTTATTGGCTTCAGTGGAAGCAGGATCAGGAGTACAGTGCAGGGATCAGCAAGTGGTGCTTGTCCATAGAAATGGTCAGGTGTTTGTGAAGTGCATCATCTACTCTGTGCAAATCATAGTTGCAATGAATCCACTGGAAAAAATCAACTGTAGCTAAAGTTAACAAAGAAAGTGTTTTATTTTTGTAAAAGTATTTTTAATAACAAAAGGGAATTTTAAATATCAGTTTTAAGGGATATAAAGGAAAAAGTGTATATAGGAAAAATTTCATTGCATTTTAGTAAGTTTGCTTATACATATCATCTCTTCAAAGTCATAAATTTGCAAGAGATTTTTGTTTCTATTGGAATGGTAGTAGAAGACATTTTAAAATATCTGTAAAAACTCAATTGTGTTTTTTTGCCTCAAGTTGTGTCATAATTGTTGTTTATATGTTTGTTCAAAACTAGAACCAGAATAAAGTCAGTCTGGAGACCAGTCTCTGTCGACATTAATAGATCACTTGCACATCTGTTTCTGTTGGTTTGCCTGTCAGTTGGTGTGTCAAGATGAAGTAAAATCTTTCAGGAGGTATTAGCAATGAAAGAGCTGTAAGTTAAGTCTGTTTCTGGTACTTAATTCCTCTTTAAGTGCTGTATTTTTCTGGGGTTTCTATATTGTGCTGTGTGCGCTGGGTTTTTAGTTCTAAGCTGTTGTGTGGTTGTCTTATCCAGGTAAGAAACTGGAAAATATTTGAAATGAAGGAAAGAGCAAAACTAGTGATCCCATAGGGAAAAGTGGAGCCTCACAAAATGCTACTGAGGGACAGGAATCCAGGTTCACTGTGGGAAAAGTTTGGATCCTGGGCAGACCTGAGACTCTTGTTACACTGAGCTGACAGGACCTTCATGTCCTGCCATCCTGGACACTGGAGGTGGAATTGTCCCAACTCCCTGGGAGTGGCTTGATAAAATACACTGAACAGACCAGAGAACGAGTTGGGCCTCAAACAAAACCAAAAATATTGATAAGGCTTGGAACACTGGTTTCATAATATCATAAGGAAATAAGTAATTTCAAAATGAATCTATGAAATACTAAGCAAAATAAGGCAATAATTAAAGCATCTTACATTTCAGATTTGGCCTGTAGAACTTAATGCACATTTATGGCTTAGCAAGCATCCCTATTTATATGGAATATTAACTTCTAGGAATTAGTTTTATATCAGATTCATGTAATTGAATGTTGCTGATGTTCTTCATCTGATTCATTTTTTGCAGAGAAGTCTTATTGATAACTTCTGAGGATCTAGGAAATAGTCTTGGCTTGGTGAAAATAGAATCTGTGTGGTAATCAGCTGGAAAGGCATAAGCTGTGAGAATTACAAAATCCATCAGCATGACTCATACTGGGAAATGTAGGTTAAGGTGAACAGAGTGAAGAAATATTGAATATAAAATATATATATAAATAATTTATCTGTAACATCCTATTTCAAGAACTTAGAAACTGAATGAGTAAAACAGTATCATGTTAACACACTCAAATTTACCATATCTTTTCAAATAGAAGACGTAAGGATGAACTTATGATCACAGATGAGGGAGAAAGGTAATAATGAATGTAAACTTTTATATAAGTGGGATAGCCCAAAATTACAATCCATTTAAGTCATATGCAACGTGAATGGTAAAAAAAGCAATTTCTCTGCTGATTCACATTAAATTTTTGTGTGTTTGTACTAGAAAGATAAATGGAGAAAAACAAATGAAAGCTAAAACCACATCAGAAGCTGGAGAAAGGAAGGGGAGGAGAAGCCACATATAATTTAGCAGAGAACACACAGTGATGTTCTGTTTTATGAGCTTGTTCTTTTGGAGGCCTCTGAGAATGGCAGTGCCAGCTGATGCACTCGGTGCCTGACGTGCTTCCCTCGGGTGCTGGAGGAAGTGTTTTCCAGGAAGTGTTTTCCATGGATATCTCACCTGCCACCCCAGTCCTTGCAGGCACAGAGCCAGCCTGGGGCTGTGACTCACCAGACTGTGCAAACACAGTGATCTCTTCTGGTCGCTGGAGAAAACCACATGTAATAGGTTTGTGGCCAAAGTAAACTAGAACACCACATCACTTTTCAGACAGGAATTGAGATATATTAAATAATAAACTGGAGGATATGTGGAGCCAGTAGTGTCTCTTCTTGTGGTACAGGATTATAATTAGTATTCAGTGGTTGAGGTTTTGCCTCTGTTAAAGGAATGTACTCTCTCAAGAAAAAGGTGAATGAGAAAGCCAGTTTTTTTCTCTCCCTGTACTAGCTCTGCTCTGAATAACCACAGAGCCTGGTCTTAGTCAGCTGCATTCTCCACCTCCTGTTTGTCACTGGAATGACTGGGATTTAGAGAGGAATTAACTGTCCTTTCAGTCAGAAATGGGTCTGCATTAGCACCTCGGTTGGACTGGCAGTGCCCTTACCTGGTGTCTCTGACAGTCCCTCTGGCCTGTGCTTTAGTTCACCTTTCAAGGCAGCCTCAGGTCACAGGGGCCAGGCTGCTTTCAGAAGGAACAGATCTGGTAGGTGTGCTTGAGGAATGCACAAAGTGTTGTCCCACAGGTAACAGGTTTAACCTGAAGCAAAATTGTCTGAAATGTGCCTTGCAGGGAGACAATGTACCAACTGTTTTGCTGCACGGATCTGCTGGTGTTGCTCTGCTGGACCTTGTGATAGATGTGTTGTATCAGTATCCTCACAACACGGCAGCTGCAAATTTTTCTGTTTTCTTCAGCAATATATTGTGCCAGTCAAGTCTGAGTTCTGTCTTGGTATAATATGCATGAGTTTAGACTGGCAAAGCAATCCCAGAATGGCAGTTACATAAAAACAACCCTACCAGCATGACTGTGCTTTCAGAACCAAAACTTACTTGGCCTCTGTTGGGGAAAACAAAGGTACTGACATTTATGGTTTTGCTCATATATGTGCAACTACAGCTGGACTTTTGACAGGCAAAGACTGTGCTCCTGATTCATGTCTGTGCTGCCAGCAGGACAGAGACTAGGCCAGGCTGAGGAATTGGAGCAACAGTTTCTTAGCTGTCGTTCACCCAAAGTGTGTACAACAAAGTGTGCTTTGTTACCACAGGTCTGAATTAGAAGCATCCTGATGTGTGTAATGACTCAGAAGCAAAACTGCCACACAACAGAGGTTGAGAAGCCAGAATGTCTGAGGTAGCTGTCAGTGGAACACTACTACAGCTCTTGTAAAGTAACTGACTTACAGGGTTAGTTTAACTGGTAGAGATGCACAGTATGAAAGCAGCACAAGGCTGGCTCAGAGGGTTTTGTGTTAAGTTTATCTTTACAAATGACAGATATATATTGCCTATTTCAGAAAAGTGCTCTGAACTATTTGGATGACAAGGCCTATGGAAAGCAAAGTATGAAGACCGGTGTTCTGTCCCACATGGATGTTATTTAATTTTTTCTTTGATATTCCCCATAGATAAATAGAGTGTATTTAGGAATGCAGGATTTTCAGCCCTAGGACCAAGTTTGTTCTCTGTATGAAGAACAAGCAAGGGGAGCCTTGATGGCTGCAGGATAGCACCAGCCCAGGTCCAGGTGGCAATTGCATCGAATTTTATTTCTGAGTGGTTTGTGCAGTCCAGTTTCTAATGTGAAGGTCACTTGGTTACTTAAAAAAGGGCATCTTTTTTAAAAAAATGGCCAGACTTGCATGTAAAGCTGTTACTTTTCATTTGACCTCTTAAGTCAGCATACCCCACTTTAAGCAGTAGTGTCTTTAGAAGAGTGTCTGCCCTTACTGGGCAAAATGCTACCAGCAGTGTGAAACTTTGGAGAACCAGTTGGCTGACGTTTTTCCAACAGGAAAATCAGAAGTTAGATATGCTTCTGTAGACAACACAGTTTAGTTTAAGATGAATCTGTGTGGATGGCAAGAGCAAGATTAGTAATTCTGTGGTACTGTTGAGCCAAAGGATGTGTCTACTTTGATTATTTTTCGTAGCAATCAGCCACCTCTTTTGATATCAGAGAACTGATCTGAGATTGCTCACAGGGTCCTTTTGATGACTTCCCATGGCTGTGAGGTGAGGGCTGACAGAGGTTAGGTGAGGAGAGCAGATTTCAGCAAAAAGTGGAACACTAAGACATGTAATCCATGCAGCTACCAGTTTGCCAGTGCCAAAAAAAACCATAAAAAGCTGCAATGCAGCTTATTTTACTGAAATAAAAGTAATGCAGGCTGAGCAAGACTTCTCTTTCACTGTGGGAATGGCACAGTATGTGCTGCAGTTACTGACACTGGAAGTAAAAATATGAAAAAGCCACTGGCTCCACCTAATTTTCATTCCAATGAATGCAGCCTGGTAACTTTATTGGGAAGCTCATAGTTTTTGCTTTATAGCCTTGACTTCTGTATTTTGTGTTGGCAGCAGTAGTTTCTGTCCAGCCTTTTGATATCTTGTGTGTGAAAATCTCTTTGTCATTAGGAACTTCTTTTTGCTGCTGATAATTTTACTTCATGATATCATGGTACATTCTGATTGCACTGTGCAGGTGGACCTGTGCACTTCTGGTTCAAAAGTGGAAGACACTTCTAATTCAAAATTGGAAGTTTCATATTCATGTTTGAAAAGTCCAGGTGATGAAAATTTTCAGGTGAATTTGCCCCTTATTAGACATAGCAGATCAGATATAATTCTCCAGAGGTCACATAGGCCTTGGGGGTAAAAAATTACCCATGATTTGAGCATTGTTTGGATGAAAACATTGTTTTGCTAATGGATTGTTATTCTTTTGTTCATAATAAATTAGAAGTATATTTCCCTGTAGTGTCTGTGTCTTAAAGAATCACTTGTTGCATAGTTGCTTTAGGCCACAGTATTATGATTCTCTGAGAACAGATGCACAGTGGAAAAACTGACTCTGGTTATATTTTCACTTTCAAAGCACTGCAGGCATTTTAATTCTCCCAACTCTGTGCAAAAATCTGTGTGTGTCTCTTCTGGTTCTAACTGAAACATGGCTGTTTATGTGCATATGAAGAATTTAACCTGTTTTCTAACTGTGTGATCTTCCTAGTGCAGTAGTTCAGTTATACAGTCACATAAATGGGATGCACATGAGTCACAGTACTTGCATTTTCACAGACCCTGTGAGAGGGACAATCTTCTGTCACAATGTTAGTGATGGGAGGTGACCTGACACAGCAAATGCCAGCATCAACTTCAACTCTGTGCTTAATCATGAGGGGTTTTTTCCCCCAGCTTTGACAAGTTGAAGTGTGATGTAAGTGGCTGTTTTGCAAACCGTGGGTGTTTATTAATACACGTTCTGAAGTGGTTTAACATTAATAAAAGCAGACGTAATTTAAAAGTCACTAAAATGATGGTTTGAGTGCAGAAGCCTGTTATAAGGAATTAAAATTAGAAAATGCTGTTGGTCGAAACTGCTTTCAGGTTTTCAGGGCAGCTTGCAAAGATTTCAAGCAATTTCAGTACTTGTTCATTATGTGTTGATACAGTACCATGACATTACATCTGAATTATCACCCCCTCATTAGATGTGTTGGTCCAGTCAGACAAAAAGACGAAAGGCCTAGCTGGGGTCTTCAAAGTACAATTTAAAATTTTTCTTAAAATATTACTGTTATCTTTCATAGCAGGATTTGGGGACCTCAAAGACATGAGATCAGTGAAATATTAGAAAAATATTCTCGTGTCCTGAAAATACATATGGAAGCAAACAAAACCATTTTTCACAGTTAAATGTTATTATACTGTTGGTGATGAAACCAGTCTGTGTTATGGCGATGTTTTCTATCTCACGTTGATTTCAAATCAGTATAACAGTGAAGGGAAAAAGAGGCAACCCTATAATTAGGTGTATGAATAAATGCTCTCTATAGCTCTTTATGTTTTTTGGGGGAAACAAATTATAAAGTAACAGAGCAAATTAGCAGCTGTTCATTAGCACTTTAGAAGTGATTTTACATAAATTCTGTAAGACTTTCTGTAATTATCTAGGAATTCTGTCTAAACACTGCAAACAGATCGGTGGCTTGTTCTGCGAACTGCTTGGTACCTATGGCACGGAAAACGACCCTACTTTGATTTACCCTTTTTAGGTAAACCCGTCTTGAAGCAGCAACGCTGCAGTTGTGCTGCTTAAAGATACAAAAGCGGTGTTTGTAGGAAGCGGTGTCTTCTCTGGCGGTTCGTGCGGTGGAACAGCCCCGCGCGGCCCCTCAGCGCCCCCGGCCCACACAAAGGGCCCGCCCGCCCCGCCATGGCCCGCGCGTGGGGGCGGGCGCCTCCCGCGCCCCCATTGGTGGAGCGAGTTGACAGGCACGTGAGCGCACCAATGGCTGTCGAGAGTTCAAAGCCGTGCCAGCGGGAGCGGCGGACGCGATTGGCTGGGTGCGCGCGGGGCCCCGCCCGCGGGGAGCGGAGGGGCCCAGAGCAGGCGTTTAAAGATGGCGGCGGCGGCGGCGCCGAGAGGGGCACGGTGGTCGTGAGGCGGCCGCGCTCGGCCTCGCTCGCAGCCCCGGCGCAGGAGCGGCGGCGCCACCGGGGATGGCTCAGGTGGGTGCGGGCCCCGCGGGGCGACGGGCAGGGCGGGCCCGCGCGGACACCGGCCCCTCCGCCCCACA